AGGACCCAACCATCACACCATCAACACACTGACAACATCACTCCATTATACATAGCACCTACAAACCACTAACACCACACATAGCAGCTGCACACCACCACCACACCAACACACATAACACCTACACGTCACTCTCATGTACGCACACCACCAACACCACACATAGCACCTACATACCATCACCACACCTAGGGGTGTAAACGAACCGAACACGAACGAACGGAACTTGTGTTCGTGTTCGGTTCGTTTGAAATTTAGTTTGTTTGAAATAAGCTCGTGTTCGAAATTGCTCGTTAAGTCACTGTTCGTGTTCGTTTCTTAATAAACGAACCGAACACGAGCTATTCGCGAACGACGAACTAGTTTGACATCCCTAATATTAATATATAAAATAATATTATATATTAATTATATCTTATATTATATAAATATACAAAATCTATATTAGTATATTACTACTATAGTATATTAATATATTATTATTATTATTTTATTAATAATTTATAAAATTTAATTTTTTAAAATATCATAATTTCTTATATATAATTATTTTAAATTATTTTATATTTCGAACAATAACGATTCAAACACGAACGAACGCATCACTGTTCATGTTTGGTTCGTTTAACTAACCGAACGAAAAAAATTTGTTCACGTTCGTCTCGTTTACTTATCGAACGAATCAAACACAAATTCATTGATGAACCGAACACGAACTGTTCGCGAATAACGAGCTTTTTTGACAACCCTAACTACACCAACACACATAACACCTACGCAACACTCTCATCTACACACACTTCTGCCACCACCACACAAACACATCACCACACATAGCATCAAACCACACCACCACCACTCCCATATACATAGCACCTACACACCACCAACACCACACATAACACCTACATATAGGGGTGTCAAAACTTGATCCGACACGCTAGCACGACTGGAACTTGGCTAAAAAATTTTCGAGTCTATTTCGGGTATGAGAATTCGACCTATTTATTATTCAGGTTGAGTTCGGGTTAAATCAAAAACCCAAATATGACCCAAATAAGCACGAAAGTTTGGGTCGGGGTCGAGGTCAGGTTTGGGTTAGTGGGTCAAGCTCGAGTTCAGATCTTAGTTTTCGACCCGTTTATTATTCACGTGTGGTTTGGGTTGACCTATTCAGGTCGGGTCATTTTCGGGTCGGACATGAACCCGACCCGTTGACCCGAATTGCACCCCTTCCTACACCAACACACCACCACACCACCACCACACCACCACACCACCACACATAACATCTACACCACTCCCATGTACAGACACCATCACACCAACACACCAACACACCAACACACTATCAGCACAAGCTTTCATGAGCATCTTTGATACATTCTAACACATTCACATCATTTCCACAAAATTCCAAAGCCTCTCATGGCCCTGAGAGCACTTAATGCATTCCACACCTCCATTCCAACTAGTGAAATATTGCCCCATTTCTTCCAAAAACATCTACAAAACACCATTGAAGAATTCTTCATAGCCTTAAGCCCAATTCAATGCCTCTACTTCATCAATTTCTCAAAGTCGAAATCATATAATTTTTTTGGTTTTGCATCAAAACCTTCTAATCGAGAAAAAGGCCAACCCACCCAAACCAACCAAAACTAAAAATGGATTATATAGAGTGACTGTAAACCAAAAAACATTCACATCCTCCAAAATCCATAGATGCCACAAAATCCAATTCTAGCCATTCCAGAGTTCACAAATCTTAAATTCTTTTATTCCAGGGGCTACTAATAGAAAAAACAAGCCACAAAAGACTGTAAAATCATAAATCGAGTAGAGCAAATGACAAAAACAACAAGAAAATTGTAAAAATAAATGTAGAGTAAAGCTACAAAATGCATTGAGAAAGCCACACATTCCAAATCAACAATAAATTGTAAAAATAAATGATAGAGGATATTGTGGGAGAGGGAGGGAAGAGCACTTCTTACGGCATAGGCTGGAGAGAGGAGATGACCTTAGGGCAGAGACGCGAGAGAGGCAGGAGAGACGCAAGAAAGGTAGAGAAGCGAGAGGGGCAAAGACACAAAGGAAGAAGCTAGGGCAGAGACACAGGGGCAGGGAGGGGAAAAAAGAGATAAGAAATGCGGATTGTGCGGTGTTACCAGCGGCCCGCATTTACAGGCGGGGTCACCAGCGGCCCGCATTTACAGGCACGTCTTCAACGATGCTGCCGCACCTCTATTTCCAAATGAGCGAAATTACGGTTTGAAGCCTCACCATACTCTAAACGCAGTGCCAAGCGGATCCTTATTGCGTGTAACATAAGTCTACAAATTATTGGGAGGGCTTAGCTTCGACTCAGTTGACCACGAGACAAACTACGCAGTAGGCGCTGGTCTAACAGATTTTTCCTCAGCTCTCATGATTTAAAGCAACAAAATATTTTGTTTTCTAGTGTTCTCACTTAAGATCAGGTCATGGAATATGTTTAGCTTGAACTTATAGGATCGTATGAATTGCTGAGAGCTATAACCGTTCCAGTTTAACGTTCTGTTATTGAAAATAACAAGCTCAATCTATGAAATTTGTCAACGAACTTGTGATTAAAATGCACTTTTTGATAAGTGCCATTGTGGAAATACCTTCAACCATCGTGAGATTAAAAGACTTTTTAATTAGACATGCCTCGTTTATTATCGAATGCTTCTGAGAAATCTTTTGCTGCCCTAACTATAGTCTTCTCATGCAACATGCTGTACACAACATTCTTCATTAGTGACAGATGTACAACTCTTAACTCATATTTTTCTAGGAGATCTTAGTCTTCTAATCTCATTGTTGCTTCTTTCACTCTGTGAGATATAGATGTACCTTGGAGTCCATTGAACCAGTTGATCCTCCCCTTCTCTTTTTAATACGCTTTATTCCATTTTTATCAGAGATTCCAATGCTATTTGAGCTTTGATACTAGCTATCAAGGGAAAGTCATTGCCGATGAACAATGATGCACATGTGTACAAGAAAAAGAAAAATAATCTGCAAAAATAATAAAAAACAGACTAGTTTGCACAATTCTATGAGATACACTTATGTCTACGACCACATATAAAGATATATATACACCATTCTATGCAAATATGTATGATAAAAATATGAGATCATGTAAATGTTTTTCTCACTAGAATTCATTTCTCTTACCAACTCTTTTAACCTTAGGATGGATGCTCTTTCTTTTGATTATGCTTATCAGAGACCGAATAACCTGTTTCCTTCTATGTTTGAGCACATCATCAATCTCCAACCATCATGACCATCTTCAATTTCTTCTTTGAAGTCCTTTGCTTTCCAATTATCACCTCTAACATTTCAATGGTCGTCACCAAAACATCTATTGGAGAAATCTTTCTATATGACACTAGCCAAGATAATTGCCTAGCATCCAGTCAGTCTATCAGCCAAATCTTTGACATCTATTTCTACACTTGGTTGAATGATGGATAAGAATGGGTTCTTTATTTCAAATCTATGCAGCCATCTATATTATATAATGCTTAGAGGTGGTATGAAACAAACTTGTAGAGGCTAAGTAGATGTTATTAGATAGTAGATAACATATTGTTTAAGTTAGGATTCCTGGGAATACATGAAAAATACATGAAATAAATCCAAGAAGCGGGTTTTTTTTTAATTGAGGTTTGCAGTTAATTATCACCACATCTCATTTTTTTTGCTTTTGTTTGATTGTTGTATTAGCCAAAGACTAGAAGAACTGCAATCATATATTGTTTGTGTTTTAGCATAATAAAGCGTAATTCTTCTAGATGTAATTTTTTTCTCCATGCATTGTAGCATTGAAAGAAGTCTATGTTTGAAACAAGGAAAATAATTCAACTTATTTTATAAACAAGGCAACTAAACCTAGGCTTTTGCTAGATTTGAATTTTTATTATCAATCATCTAAGCTAACCAAACATGCATTTATTAAAAATATGATATTATATATCTTATGAGACTAAATGAAATATCTCTTAAAATAACTGATAGAATTTATTTAATTTTGTCTAAATGAGTAAGTTGATTTGTTTATAAAATGTTAAACGATGATAAAAACAATGAATTTGATGGCTTTTATTCTTTTTATTGATGGAATTCTCTAAAAAGTGTGTAAAACATCACAATCATTATTTTTCAAGAAGAGAAGTTGGAATGCTTGTTTGCAAAAAAAGTTACATTTTTTTTTCTCTTTGGTACACATTTTAAACCATGAATTTCATGGATTGCATGAAGTAGTAGACCAAAATATCAACTAAGGAAATAACTTCCTCCCCCATGACGACCCCTTTCAATTGAGCGTAAGACATAATGGAGGCAGTTAGGACTCATTTGATTGAATCTACCTCCAACACTTAATCTAGAATTTCATTCTGTATAATTGAATGAATTATAAACTCAAGCATTTATATAACCTAAACCAAAACAAGCAATACAATGTAAACTCACAAAAATATAAAAATTTCACAATTCAATTCAAATTCTTGACTACCACTCAAATTTTCATCAGCCGCTGCTTTTTTTTTTAAAGTGGAAATGGCCATGGATGCTATAATGTATTTGTTTTATGAATAGTGAAATTAAAATGAACATTGAACATTTTGTTAATTAAAATATTAATTATATAAAATTGGGGATGAATGTTTTAGGTCCATTCAATTTTATACATTTTGTTTGTTACCTGAATTTTTGGGTTTAACAATAAGGACCTTGGAATCTATTGCCAAAAGTTTTTGGTTCGAGCTCGAACGCCATGATAAATCCAAAAAAATTGTGATGCTATGATGAGTTTATAAATGAATTAATGTGATGGTTCAAGTTTATCAGAACTTTAATTTAGAGATGTACCTTTTTACACTTGTTATATTTTTCTCGTTTTATGCGCACATGTTTCTCTATTAACTGCTCCGCTATGTCAACCTTGAGTTTTGTTTGTGCAGGTTTGCGTCTTCTATTTGGTTCTCAGAGCTCTTGATGTTATCGGTCTGTTCTCATGATCTCTTTTTCATATTTCTTGCCATAGGCTTTTATATTATAATGCGGTATGATTTGGTTCTCGATTTTGCTTTTAATATCATTTCATTTGGGCGCAATATAATTGTTCTTGATGATTTTGCCAAGTGTATTATGCTTCAACATTTTTGGATCACAACATATTGTTAATTATGCAGCTTTTAGTCAAAGTTACAATCTTATAACATGATAATGCATATTGGTCGCCAAATATCACATCTTTGGTCCTTGTATATGAAGCCATGGTATAGAATATGGATGGGTCTTGCTGTCCAATGCTTTTAGGCTGCTTCACTCACAAATAACATGAGAGGCTGAAGGATAAATTAATGTTTTTTAATAGATGAAGCTTGGCATACATTCTTGTTATTCATGCCTTCACAATTTCAATTTTTTGTTTTCTTTTTTTTTCAGTGGAGCTTCTTGAACTTAGCCACATAATTGAAACATTTTTTTTCCGTTTCTCCTTAAGATTTATAATTATTGTATTTCATAGCCATAACTCAACCATTTTTCAGATATCTGTTGCCAAAAATTAAGGTGTACTCATAGAAGAAAAAATTAACCATGAATTTGCGATGGCCATGGTGCATGCATGTTAATCAGGAAGAACGGAAATTAGATAGCTAAATTAGGAGTTTTCTAAAATTAGAAGCTTCCGTATTTCTAACATCTTTATTCTGATTTATTTCCCTATTAGCTGAATATTTAGATTAGGAATATGTATTATTAAGTTACCTAAAATAGATTATATGCACTTTATTTTGTACCTAAAATAGATTGTAAGATTGTTATTTAATGGAATGAAAGCAAAGAGAAAAGGCAATCGAGCCTATTCAACATTCAGCCTATTTTTCTCAAAATTTTGACATGATATCAAAGCCAGATTTTTGCCTTAACCACCAATAATTGTTGGAGTACTGTCAAGACTCCCTTCCCATCGGCCTTCTTGCAGGACGGGAAGGGAGGAACTATTTCATTGCTTGATTCTCGTTCGTTCGTCTGGTGGTCGTCTCATGATTTTTTCAGATCTCCTTCGCTAGCCATCATTGCTTCTACCACTTCTGCTTCGTCGACTTCTTCGTGTTAATGAGATGACCGGAAGGTTTAGGAACATCGATGATGTTACCATCAAGGTCCATCATCTTAGCGATATTCTTCGTGTAATTTTGTCCGCCAAGTTCTACGATACGATGCTCCCAGTGGACACGCTCTCGAAGAGGTTTGTTGATCTCGTCACGGAGGAGATGCTCAACGAGGCCCTCAGTCTGGATCTCAGCTGCCTTGACACCAATCACTCGGAGAATTTCACCGCGCCATCGGTCGGCATCGGCGAGATTGCTACACTCCGAGGTAAGGTATGGACAATGCTCCTTGGTCTTGCGCTTCTCCTCGTTCTTCATCGCAATGAAGCGATTGAGCATCGACTGTGCCTTCTCCTCATTGATAGCCACCTTGGCTTGCGCTTCTCTCTGCTTCCTCGCCTCCTATCACTTCATTCTGGTTTGCTTCATCCTCCTGCGTTGGCTTCGGCTGCTTCGTTCCGGTCTGCTTTGTCCCAATTGCTTCGACACTGTTGGACTTTGACACTCTTGATCTTCGACACTCTCAGGCTTCAGCCTCTTGGGCTTGGACACTTTTGGGCTTCGTCACTTTTGGGCTTCGACACTTTTGGGCTTTGACATTTTTAGGCTCCGACATTCTCGGGCTTCGACACTCTCAGGCTTCGGCCTTTCGGACTTTGACATTTTTTGACTTCGACACTTTTGGGCTTCGACATTTTTAGGCTTCAACACTCTCAAGCTTCGGTCGTCTTGGGCTTCAGCACTCTCAGGCTTCGGCCTTTCGAACTTCGGTATTTTTAGGCTTCGGCATTTTTAGGCTTCGACACTCTCTGGCTTCGTCACTCTTGGGCTTCGGCTTTTTCAAGTTTCGACACTCTGAGACTTCGACACTAACGACTTGAGGATTTTTTGTCCCGGCAGTGTTATCGGTTTCTTGTTAGCAAATTGATGATTCCTGATCAGTCAACATCAATTTAAGGGGGAATGTCAATCAGGAAGAACAGAAATCAGACAGCTAAATTAGGAGTTTTCTATAATTAAAAACTTCCTTATTTCTAACATCTTTATACTGATTTATTTCCCTTTTAATTGAATATTTAGATTAGGAATATGTATTATTAAGTTACCTAAAATAGATTATATGCACTTTATTTTGTACCTAAAATAGATTGTAAGATTGTTATTTATTGTAAGATTGTTATTAGATTGTTATTTAATGGAATGAAAACAAAGAGAAAAGGCAATCGAGACTATTCAGAATTCAGCCTATTTTTCTTAAAATTTTGACAATACAAACTGATACATCAGAATTATTTCTGAAATTTGATATAGCTGTGTTGCTGAAATAGCCAGAAAAAAGTTCAATAGCATGATAAATGATTTTAGGTTCTTGAAAACACTTGCGATTGAGTGCAGGGGATGATTAGAAGAATCACAAGAAAGTGGGGGGCTTAGTTCATTTATTTGATTGCTACGTAATACTCTTTAATTTAACTTATAAACTTAAAATGACACATATAGACAACTTAATTATCTATTAAATATCACCCAATCCAAACCACCTTCTGTGTTTATTTTGACCGCCATTCTTCAATGAACAATACTAAAGGGTAAAATCATTTATAATGAAGCCAATGCTTCTAAACCCTGGTGGAGTATTGGTCACAAAAATAATGTATTAAAAGAATTAAGGATGGGGTTAGAAGCACCAAATTCCATCTAACATACTTGAGAAAGATAATATCTAAAAATATAATCAATGAAATTGGAATAATCCAGATGAATGGATTAGTGTTATATCAGACATTAAAACATTAATTATCAACTGTTTTGGAGCCTTTGTCAAGTACAAAACTTCATAATTTATTAGGATTGATTGGAATACCATTTCGTCGATACTAAAATGTCAACTTTATACTTAATGTTAATCCAAATGAAGAAGAGATAAGGAAAAAACTGGTCTTTGATCAAATTATGTTACCGGTCTTGATGGATTCACTGTTTTATTTTATCAGACCTGTTGGAGCTTTGTTAAGGATGACATTCTGAAGGGTGCAAGGGATTTTTTTATTGGTACATGCATTCCTAAATTCTTTTTCTCCACATCCATTGCTATCATTCCTATTAAATGATAGCTCTAAAAATGGACGTGTTTTAGAACCATGAACTTTTGCACATTTTTAACTAGACCAACACCAAACTTCTAGCAGGTAACCTTATTTCTGTTCTTCACATAATTATTATTTTTTAATCAAAGTGGTTTCATCTAAGGTAGATCAATTACTGCTGATATCTTGGCTCAAGAGTTTATGCAGTACTAATCAAAAGTTTCATAATGGAAATGCTTTTCTTGAATTGGATATTCTTAGGCTCGTGATATCTTGCGATGGGAATTCCTTTATTTAAATTTGGTTTTAATGAGTTAATAATCGACTATTTTGCAATCATTGGTCACTTTTTAGTCAACACAAAAGTTGAGGTGTAACCTTTTCATCAATATGCCTAATCCATATTACGTTCCTCTTCAAGCCAAGAATGCATAATTGATAATGGATGAGAAAGTCCAAACACAAAAATCAACTTTCATTAATAGGAAAAAGAGGGTTACAACGCACATAAACTGAAAATAACTTCACCAAAACACAAACAATACAAATAGACACCTCGAGAGTGTATCCCATGGGCGGTGGAGGTTGGTGGGAAGGTGGGTAGGGGACGACTGGCTGCTAGGACAAGTGGAGGGGGAAGACCTGAACAACAAGTTCTTGCGGCAAAAACGGGGTCGACGGCGCAGGGGGAAGCAGTTTGGGATAGCCGATAATTAAGGGAAGTGGAGGAGACGAAGTAGGGAAGATAAAAGTGGAGATACAATCACCACCTCTAGGAGACAGCCGGAGCACCACCACCTTCTCGGATACAGCCCTAGAACAGGGAAAATGATTTCACACAGGAAATCTAAAATCAACTCACAACAAAAACTAAACCCTAAAACACCAATTTAAATACTCTCACAGAGGAAAACAAAAAAAGAAAAAGCTCCCATAAGGAAATCACAAAAAAGGAAGGAGGGGAAAGGGATGGCCGGCAATGCCGCCCTTCCTAATATGTTGCTCGATTGGTGTTACGCAAAAAATGAAGGAGAGAGGTGCAAGTGGTTGCTCGCCTTACCAAAACCCACACCCCAGGCCGCTCGGCCTAGGTTCATCCTGGATCGGTCGAGCTGGTCCACCTCTCCTGCTCGTGTGGGAGTCTTCCTCGCCCGCTCTCCGCTCGCGCGGGAGCTCTCCACACCTGTGTTATTCTCCTACGGTTGGGGGAGCTTCAACCTCACCTGCGTTATTCTCCTAGGGTTGGGGGAGCTTCGAACTCATTCATGGAAGCTTCTGTCGGCACATGGACGACGAGGGAACTACTGTAATTTTTTGGGACGGACGAATTGCCAATTATAGTCCTAGTAGGTCGATTCAATAGGCGTTGTCATTCCAAAGTACATTCTGGTAGAATAGGTATCTGTCCACCTTTGGCGCGCTTCAAGCGGGAACTGTAGGTAGACGGGTATTTTCACAAAACATGTATCGAGCCATCTCAGTTGTAACCAACTTCTTCCACTCCTTATAGTCGGTTGAGTGCATCTGATGAACTAGTATGTAAGGAGAAGTCAAGTCTGGGGTGAAATCTGTGGCAGGCTACGCCACTCTCCCTAGCTCCCACTCTGGAGAGATCTCTTCTCCACTGATAGGATCTGGATTCCACTGCAAAATTCTCGTGTTTGTCAAGCTCCTTGGGCCCATTACTAAGCTGAGGTTCATCTCTTCTGTCTGGATATCTAGCGATGGGTACCATGCGAAACAGGAAATAACCTTTAAATAACTCCATGTGATAATCTTGATAGGACACATATTGACT